TCTGAGCCCATTCCCGGGGAACTGCAGCCCGTTCCCGGGGATCTGAGCCCATTCCCGGGCTGTTCCCGGGGAACTGCAGCCCGTTCCCGGGCCCGGCGCCGTTCGGGCTGCAGGGAGCTCCCGGTGCAGGTCTGCATTCCCGCAGCCCGTGACGCCGTTCCCGGGGTCTCTCCCGATCCCACGCCGGCCCCTCCTCCCGTGCCCCGCGGGGTGGGGGGGTCACCCGCGGGGCCGTCCCGGGGGCGGATTTGGGGGCAGATCCCAGGAAATGGGCTCGTGCCAGCCCGCGGCCCGCGGATCCGTGAGGCCGCTCCCGGCGGGATGAGGCTCCCGGTGTCCCTGTGGCTGCCGCTGGCCCTGGCGGCGGCGGCGGCGGCGGCGGCGGCGGCGGCGGGGCAGTCCCCGCTCCAGCGGCGCGTGGTGCGGGACGTGCTGGAATATTTCCACGGGCGCAGCAACGTGCATTTCCTCTTCAAGGAGCGGGAGGTGGACGGGGTCACCGAGCGGGTGAGGGACGGCATTCGGCACCGGGAGCCGCCGCTCGGGCTCCGGGATGGCCACGGGAACGGGGCTCGGGCAGGGGCTGCGGTCCCGGGAGCGTGCGGAGGAAGGGGAGCAGCATTGGGATTGGCGTCGGGATCTCGGATTTGGGGCTCCGATGGCCGCGAGAACAGCGAGGGGTCAGGGTGGGTGTCCCGGAGGGAGCAGGGGAGCGGCGGGATTCGGGATTGGGGTTCGGGGTTCAGGAGCCGGGATGACCATGGCACTGGGGAGGGTGTTGGGGTGTCCCCGAAGGAATAGAGAGAGGGCTGGGAGGGGGTTGGGGTGTCCCAGAGGCAATGGGAGATGGACAGGATCGTCGAGCAGGTGTGTTGGGATTTGGGATTTGGGGTTCAGGACTGGGATGCGGGATGGCCACAGGGATGGGGAGGGGGTCGGGTGTCCCAAAGGGAAGCGGCGGGTGCTGGGGTGTCCCGGGGTGCTCTGGGACCGGCCCTGCTGGCCGGGCTGAGCTCGGTTATTCATTAACAGATCCGAGCTGATCCCGGTGCCCCCAGAGCCGGGTCCACCCCGGGGTGCCCCTGGAAATGTCCTGGTCTGGGAAGGGCCAGGACTCCAGGGACCCCACTTGGGGCCACGTGCCCGTCCTGGAGCCAGCCTGGGGTCATTCCTGGCAGGGATTTACCTGAGGCTTTCCAGGATTCAGGATCCCTCCCAGAGTTCAGGGTCCCTCCTGGGATTTGGGGTTCCTATGGGAGTTTTGGGGTCCTTCTCAGGGGCTGGCATCTGTGGGGTTCAGGGTCTCCCCCAGGATTTGGGGTTGCTCTCAGGGTGCTTGGGTCACTCCTGGGGTTCGGGGTCTCACCGGGGGCTGCATTCCCTGGGAATCTGGGGTTTGGGGGTCACTCTGGAGGTTGGGATCCCTCCGCAGGAGGATCCTTCGGGGACGTTCGTGCAGCTCCGCCTGGGCCTGGCACAGACGAGCTGCCGCAAGCGAGCGCCGCAGCGGCACTGCCGGGTGCTGGAGAACCGGGTGAGGGGCTGGGCACAGGGCTGGGTGTCCCTCCTCCCCTGGGCACAGGGCTGGGTGTCCCTCCTCCCCTGGGGCACATGGGGTGTCCCTTTTCCCTTGGGGCAACATCCCAGGGTGTTCCCATCTCCCTTGGGCACATCCTGGAGTGTTGTCCCCTCCCTCAGGACACTTTCCAAGCTGTCCCTCTCCCTTGGGCCACATCCCCTCTCCCTTGGGGCCTATCCTGGGGTGTCCCTTCTTCCTTGGGGCCTATCCTGGGATGTCCCCTCTCCCTTGGGCCACATCCCCTCTCCCTTGGGGCCTATCCTGGAGTGTCCCCTTTCCATTGGGGCACATCCTGGGGTGTCCCCCCTCCCTTGGGGCACATCCTGGGGTGTCCCCTCTCCCTTGGGGCACACCCTATTCCCTCTATAGGGCCTCATCCCTGAATGTCCCCCATCCCTTGGGCTGATCCCTGGGTGTCCCCTCTCCCTTGGGCCCCATTCCAGGGGTCCCTCAGCCCCCCACAGACCCCCCACCCCCCCACCACGCTGCTGAGGGTGCCAGGGTGGGCAGAGGGGACGGCGGTCAGTGCCAGAGGGTCCCTGGGGCTCCCGGGGGTGACACACACCGTGTCCCAGAGGAAGCCCACCTGCCTGGCCTGCTACAAGTTCGACACCAGCGATGTCCCCAAGGTGCTGGACAAGTACCACAACTGCGGCCCCAGCCACCACCTGGCGGTCAAGGTGAGTGCCCCCGGTGTCCCCGGTGTCCCCCAGCATCCCACCGGTGCCAGCCCCTGCTGTGCCCGCAGGAGATCCGGCAGCGGGACGAGGCCGAGTGCCGGGCGGTGGAGGAGGCCGGCAGAGGGGTGGACGCGCCCTACCTGCCCGGAATGTTCGCCTTCTCCCGGGGGCTGCCAGCCTAGGTGGGTACGGGACAGCCCTGGGGACAGCCCGGGGTGGGGACGGGGACACGGGGATGCCAGCACGGCCGCCGCTCCTCGTCCCCTTTGCAGGCGCCCCGGCACCGACGGACGCTGCCACGGTGCTCCCGGCCTGCCCCGCTTGCCACCCCCAGCCCCGTGGGACCACGGAGGGTCCCGGACGTGTCCCCCGCTCCCGCCTGGCCCCGCTGCCCAGTAAACAGCGCTGCCTCCGCTCTCACGGCTCTGATTCCCACCCGCGCCAGCCCCTGCTGTCCCCAGGGATGGGGGACACGGTGGGGGGGGTGGCTCCCTGTCACCACCGCCTGTGTCACCTCTTGTCCTTCCCCGGGTGGGGAAAGACAGGAACGCGACGGGCTGAGCAGTGCGAGACCCCTGAGGCCGCAGGACAGAGGGACACTGGCGGGTGGGACACGTTTAATGCACAGAGGGACACTGGTGGGTGGGACACATTTAATGCACAGAGGGACACTGGTGGGTGGGACACATTTAATGCACAGAGGGACACTGGTGGGTGGGACACATTTAATGCACAGTGCCACCACGGCCCGATCCCCGTGATGTCCCAAAGCCGAGGCCGGGTCCCCACGGCTCCTCTAGTGCTCCCTGGGGATCCCACACTGGGCTGGGCTGGCTCTGGGGGTACCCTGGCTGCAGTCTGGGGGTCCCACGGCTCAGAGCAGGAAGGAGACAGGCTTCTGGTGGCTCTGGGGGTCTCACGGTGACAGTGTGGGCTCTGGGGGCTTTCCTGGATCCATTTCTGGGCCGGCGTGGCTAAGAGAATGAAGTTGGGCAGGGGTGGCACTGAGGGGCTCCTAGACCTGATTTTGGGGTCTCACAGTTCAGAAGATGAAGGAGCTGGACTTGTGATGGCTCTGGCGGTATCTCAGCCCTGGTTTTGTGGTCCCACAGGCTGTGGTGGCTCTGGGGGCTCTCCTGTCCCTGTTTTCAGGGTTCTGTAGCTCAGATGATGGTGGCTTTGGGCTGGGTGGCTCTGGGGGTTCTCCATTCCCGGTTTTCAGGGTCCCGTGGCTCATATGACAGTGGCTTTGGGTGTGGTGGCTCTGGGGGTTCTCCATTCCCAGTTTTCAGGGTCCTGTGGCTCAGATGATGGTGGCTTTGGGCTGGGTGGCTCAGGGGGCTCTTCATTCCCCATTTTCAGGGTCCTATGGCTCAGATGAGGGTGGCTTTGGGCTGGGTGGCTCTGGGGGCTCTCCATTCCCTGTTTTCAGGGTCCTGTGGCTCAGATGAGGGTGGCTTTGGGCTGGGTGGCTCTGGGGGTTCTCCATTCCCTGTTTTCAGGGTCCTGTGGCTCAGATGAGGGTGGCTTTGGGCTGGGTGGCTCTGGGGGTTCTCCATTCCCTGTTTTCAGGGTCCTGTGGCTCAGATGAGGGTGGCTTTGGGCTGGGTGGCTCTGGGGGCTCTCCATTCCCTGTTTTCAGGGTCCTGTGGCTCAGATGAGGGTGGCTTTGGGCTGGGTGGCTCTGGGGGTTCTCCATTCCCGGTTTTCAGGGTCCCGTGGCTCATATGACAGTGGCTTTGGGTGTGGTGGCTCTGGGGGTTCTCCATTCCCAGTTTTCAGGGTCCTGTGGCTCAGATGATGGTGGCTTTGGGCTGGGTGGCTCAGGGGGCTCTCCATTCCCATCTTTGGGGTGCCACAGCTGCGACACCGTGGGCTCCAGGCCGCGTCGCCTCCGGGGCCCGGCCGGTCGCTCAGAAGCCGAAGTCGCCGTGGTGGCGGCGGCCGAGCGCGCGCCGGGCCTGAGCGATGGAGTCGTCGGCGCGGCGGCCGAGCTCGCGGCACTCGCGCAGGGCCTGGCCCAGCTGCCGCGTGGCCTCCTCCAGCACGGCGCCGCGGCGCGCGGGCCGCGCCTCCCAGAAGCCGGCCCGCACCCAGGGCCGCGGCGGCTCGGCGGGCGCGGCGGGCGCCCCGTCGCCGTCCAGCGCGGCGTCCAGCTCGCCGCACAGGCGGAAGAGCTCGCTGCCGCGCCCGGCCACGCGCTGCCCGTCGATGGCCTTGAGGCCGGGCAGCATGGCGGCCAGCGCGGCGCGGTAGGCCGGCGCGGCGCACAGCGGGTTGCCCAGGTTGCCCAGCGGGTCCCGCAGGCGCAGGCTCTCCAGGTGCCGCAGGCCCCGCAGGCAGCGCAGCTGGCGCAGGCTGCGCAGGCGGTTCCCGGCCAGGTTGAGCCGGCGCAGGCTGAGGCAGCCCCGCAGCGGCTCCACGCTGGCCACGCGGTTCCCGGCCAGGTTGAGCACGGCCAGGGCGCGCAGCGCGGCCAGCGGCGCCAGCCCCGCGATGGCGTTGCCCGACAGGTCCAGCCACTCCAGGTTGGAGCAGTCGGCCAGGCAGCCCAGGTGGGCGATGCCGCGGCCCCGCAGCCGCAGCAGCAGGATGGACTCCAGCGAGAACTCGCCCGTCGTGGCCTTCAGCAGCGCCGGCGTCACCCGCACCCCGGAGCCTTCATCCTCCTCCTCCTCCTCCGCCTCCTCCTCCTCCTCCTCCGATGGCTCCGACAGCTCCGGCTCCGGCGCCTCCTCCCCGCGCCCCTCCATCACTGCGGGGAGGTCCTGGGGGGACGGAGGGGCTGGGGCGGCAGCGGGGACACTGTGTGTGCGAGTGGGGCACGGGGACACGCGTGGGGCATGTGTCAGGGGGTGAGGAGCACGAGGAGACGTGGGGCACAGCTGGCGGTGTCACCTCCTCCTCCCCACGCCCCTCCATCCCGTGGGGGTCCCGAGCAGGGAGAGGGGCTGCGGGTGGCACCGGGGAGCGGCTCTGGATGGACACGCTGGCTGTGGG